TCTATTAATAAAAAAATAGAAGAATTTGAAAGCCTTTGTTAAAATTTAGTATTATACTCTCTCATATTCTTCTGTTTTGTAAATAAGAACAATACTCCTCATCTATTTTCAATATAGTTATAATAGTAATAATATTTAAGATTGCAATATATTACAGTATTTTTATCATCATTATATATTCCGAGTATTTTAAATTCATTAAAACAATTGAATCTCAATTTTCTCTCTTCATTAATAATTAACAAATACATAACAATTATACAATCATATAGTAATATAACATTCAACTACTACTATTATAATATAACAACAAATAATACTAATTTAATAATAATAATAATAATAATAACAAAATGAATACAAATTTACAAAAAGATTGTGAATATTCAATAGAATTAGGTGATTCATTTTCACAATTAACAAATTCATCTTCTAATAATTCATCTAATTCTTCATCTTCTAATAATGAATTTCATTCACTTGTTTATAAATTTAAACCTAAAAGTCTTAAAGATAATAGTTGGGAAGGTAAAATAGATATAGATACATCATCTACTATTGTACATTTAAATACTAATAATTCAAGATTATTTAAAGGTACATTTGAATCTTATAAAAAACCAAATATTCATGAATGTATTTTAATTTATGATAAAAATAGTAATACTTTTACTTTGGAAAAATTACATGCTACTATTGGTGCTTTACAACAAATTGATAATAATTCTTCATCTTCAAATAATTTACAAAATTTAAATAATAATAATTCATTAAATAATATGATGATGAATAATATTATTACTGAAACTATTACAAGTAATTATTTGAATAATAATAATAATATGAATAATAGTAATAATTTGAATAATAATAATAATAATTTGAATAGTAATATGAATAGTACAATGATGAGATCAAATTCATCTTCATCTACAACTCAATTATTAAATTCAACTGTATCATCTAAAACAACAACACCTCCAAAGAGAAGTTTAACACCAAGTAGTTCAACACATTCATTAGATATTGAATTACCAAAGAAGAAATTAAAAGATTCACCTCCTACTTTTAATCCTACTTTTATGACAAGTAATAATAATATGACTAATATGATAAATTCTAATATGACAAATAGTAATAATAATAGTAATAGTATGATGATGGTAAATAATAATGAAATGATA